AAAGCCCAGCCCCTGCAACTAGGCCATGTACACCTCATGGGCAGCAGGAGCAAGAAGACGGCAAACATCATATGGAGCAATAGAGTGCAGGGCAGTGATGGTCTAGCAAAGGCAACTGCAACTGGGTTGGGGTCACTGGCTTCCAAGATACGGCAAGCAGCCCCAGAATTGGACAATTTGGGGCTGTTTGTCACTTTGCATGATAGGGTGCCCCAAAGAGCAAAAATGGGGAGAAGATGTAAGATAGGAGGCTCAGGGCTACAAGTGACCAAGCCTGGAATGGAATAAATTAACGACCCATGATTCTTGGTTAATGACAATTGCCAGAATTGTCATCAGTAAGTGATGCAGTCATGTGATAACACACTCTACAACTGCATTGCCTAGGGATGGAAATTCTAGTCCCAATTACGTTGGTTGTAAATTGTAGACTTCCTGTATTTAATAGAAAAATAAGTTTCCTCATCCACAGTCTCATTCAATATACCCAGTATTTGATTGGGTTAATCCAAGTAAGCTCTGAAGGAAGCTGAAAGCTTCTATGGTTGTCAAAAGGCTATTCTTAGTTTGCATTCTTCATGATACTTAAAGTCAGAGGCAATTCCTCAGGGTCGTTTAACATCTGCTGCATCAACTAAAAATGGAGTTAAGTTTGGTTGAATTTTAACCCCATTATTATTTAACTTTTCTGTGTTTGACTTGTTAAGTTACCTAACAAACACGGACTTTCACCACCCTAAGCTGAAAGAGAAATTTATTTTCTCTTTATGTAGCTGAAGCAACTGTATTATCTTTGATTCCTGTTGGTCTCAAAGGAGTTGTGAAGACCTTTATGCAACTTTGAGTGGAGGGCAAAATTAAAATTTATCAAAAAGACTAAAATCTTGACCTTTGCCAGGATACCCCGCAGTCATCAGGGGTGGGATTCAAATTTTTTAACAACCGGTTCTGTGGGCGTGGCTTAGTTGGTGGGCGTGGTTTGGTGGTCATGTTATTGGCTGGGTGTGGCCAGCTCAATATCACTCACATCGAGGCACGCATCTCCTCGCCTGGCCTCTCATGACTGTGGGGTTGCTGCAACAGTTGTAAGTGTGAAAAATGGTCATAAATCACTTTTTTCAGTGCCATTGTAATTTTGAATGGTCACTCCACATAAGCAAAATACCAGCAAAGGAGGGGAAAAGACTCCAGAGACGTTCCTGAGACAGGAAGTCTGGTCCTGCCAAGAATGTAATAAGGGTTAATGGAGAGGCAGTTTCTGTAAGCAACACCAGAATGTTTCCTTCCTGCCTTCCTTACAGGATTAGGACAGTAATTTCTCCTAACAACCGGTTCTCTGAACTGCTTAGAATGTTAACAACTGATTCTAGTGAATAGGTGCTAACTGGTAGAATCCCACCCCTGCCTGGCATAAAGATGGACGTTCAGTCAAGCAGATTAATATTTTCTAAATATTTGATGATGTACTATTAATATGCATTCATAATCATGAATTCTAAAAAGCTGTACTTGAAAATAATTATATTTTTGTCTGCTGAAACATACAGCTTTATCAGTTTTGTCTCTGTGTAGATTTGAATGATTGCTGTTACATATAGTACCTATTTTTGGAGCATCTCTAACAACAAAAGAAAAGCAACTGTTTGTAGCTTTTAATGTTATGGTGAAATCGCCGTTGTGGATAGTTCCCTGCTTATGACCACAACAGGAACCAGAAATTCATCATTAAGGAAGTTGTTAAACAAGATATCACTTGACCAAGACTGGCTTCCCCACTGACTTGGCTTGTTGGAATCAGGCTGGAAAAGTCACAAATGGCAATCACATTTCCGCACAATATTGCATCTGTCATAAATGTGTGACAGTTGCTGAACACCAGAATCACAATCCTGTGTTTTCAGGGATGCTGAGATGGTCATCCGTGTGAGGACCGCTATTAAATAACTTTTCATTTCTGTCATAACTTGGAACATTGGCTAAATGAATGGCTGTAAATCAAGGACTATATATATTACTCTGCAAAGTAGTACAGAAATTAGGTGCTTGGGGCTAGGAGCTGTAAATATTAAAATTATGTCAGGAGTTTATGAATGTAGGTAACGATGTGTTGATAAATGACTTGGGCAGTGGCCCCCAATATTTTTGGCACCAGGGACTGGTTTTGTGGAAGACAGTTTCTCCACAGACTGGAGAGGGGAGATGGTTTCATTTTTGCTTGCTTGCCCACTTCTCATCTCCAGCTGTGTGGCCTGGTTCCTAATAGGCCACAGATCAGTACCAGCCCGTGGCCCAGGGGTGGGGATCCGTGGTCTAGGGAACTTTTTAGTTGATTAGCAATAGTATTTTATAAGCTAACAATAGCAAATGAGGTTGCAGGTGTTTAATTTTATTTTAGGGTTCCCCCCCCCCCGCACTTCCTTATTTTTATGAATAACTCAAGCCTAACTCTATACTCCTTCCTCCTCCTATTTTCTCCACAACAACCACTCTGTGAGGTGAGTTAGGCTAGAAGTGATTGGCCCAAAGCTAGTATTTCATACCTAAGTGTGGAGGGACCAGAACTTACAATCTTCTGGTTTCTACTTAAATGTCCTAACCATTAGACCAGTGATGGCTAACCTTTTCAGCTTGGTGTGTCAAAAATCGGGAAAAAGTGTAGCCTTCCTCGGGTCGTGTGTCACTTCAAGAAATATCAATAATTTGGTAATATTTGCAGCCCTAATAAAGAAAGATTTATATTTTTAATATATTTATTATATTTATTAGTTCAAAAAGCAAAAAACAAATAATGATTTACCTTAGTGACTTTTCTGTTGCTGAATTGCATTTGCTAAATCTTCAATTGCAGGGTTGTATTTTGTGCACTTCAGGGCCAAGCAAGTAGTATAAAAATGGCATCATAGGAACAGGCTTATTCTCAGTCCAAAGGTTTGTTTCTGATTTCTTCCCTGATTTAAGGGAAATTTGGGAAATGATCTCACTATCATGAAAGGTTTAATTGATTCACTAACCCAAAAGATGATGATGATGATGACAGTGGGAGGCAGGAGTCACTCTCTCCCTTGCGAGAAAAAAGCAAGAGCCGTTCTTATGATCTCTCTCTCTCTCTCCCCGGAATACAGTCAAGCCCTCTCCAGCACGCGCAATCCGACCCTGCCGCTTAAAGTCAACGTCCTCGCTCCCACCCACCCACCCACCCAAAGCGACGAAGTCCCCCAATTGCGCAGCCCAGAATCGCCCTCCCCTCAGGGGGCAGCAAAGATGCCCGGCGTTTCCCAAGACAAGAAGCTCTGCCGTGCAATGAAAGCGTCCTGGCTTTAGGCTTGCGGGCTCAGAAAACAACGCAAGCCGCCGCCACCTCCTCCCCCTCCTCCCGAGCAGACCAACAGGCGTGTCAGTCAAAGTGCCTCGGCGTGTCACAAGTGACACGCGTGTCATAGGTTAGCCATCACTGCATTAGACCAAACTGGCTTTATTGTTATAATTATCCTTGTATCTGAATCACAGTAATGTTTACTGTACAATCATGTAGTGGCCTTAAATAGAGTATGCTAGCCAATTCTAAAATTCTGTGATAACTCACATGTAGATTGAAGATCACATGGCCCTGAAGTTTACATAGTAGACTTTAGTAAATAGTAAATAGTAGGCTTTGTTCTGTGAGTCCTCATTGGCTCTGTTGCTACCTGCATATGGGAATGTAAAGTTCTGGTATTTTCAATAATTCTGCGCAGAGGTTTTCCTGGTTCATAGACTTTAAAAATTTATAAAAAGATCTAAATGAAGGATTGCAATATGTGAAAGAAACAGGCAATATTACATTTTGTTCAGTTTTGGAAAAAATGAGGATGACCTTTCCCCCCTATTTCTCTGAGAATCTGTACTTGTAGCATAACTACAGTATATCCATCCCTTATCATGGACAGCATTCATTAGATTAGAGTTGTTTGACTTCTCTTTCAGCACACCCATAACTAGACCTCTTTAAAACTGTAAAATAACCAAATGAAAACACTTTTCTATTCCCAGATTCATTCTGACACCAAATTTTATACTTGTCTACACTATATATCTTGCAAAAATGTTGGTCTGCTACAATAATAATAATATGTATAAATAATTTCTTTATTAATAAGAGGAATCTTTTGAATGAATAAGAACTAAGCTCTATTTTGTTGCAGTTTAAACTTTTCAAAATTGAGAAAAAAACTAAGAATCATGTAGTATTTTAAAAGAATTGAACTTTTATTATGAATTACAACCCACATCACTCGAGAGTGATACAAAACTATGGGCATAAGTTTAGAAATGTTTTCTATTTTAAATTATATTCTCAGCAATTAAAAAAACAGCAGGTTTTTTTAGATGCTTTTTACCAACTTAGTAAAACAACAGTGAAACTAAAATGAAATTTTATTGAACAATAAATATCCAGTAATAAATATTGACTAGTACAGGAAACTGCATATAAAGTAAATTCTCTAAAAGTTTCAATAAACCTGCTAACAAGTTTATCAATTCTGCTCAGTAACAGAGTACTATACAAGAAATGGCTCAGCCACTGTCAATAAGAACTAGTTAATAAGATTGGCAGTCTGAAGCACTAGCTTCATATATCCACTTAGAACTGACTTTCAAAATTTGTCAAGATGTGCTTGACACTGGTAGAGTGTTTCCATTTGCCTACATCTTGGATACAGCTGGCTGTATTTTGTGAGCTGTACCTGTGAGGGAAATGTAATAGTACTTAATCTACAGTATATTTAAAGTTTTTAAGAATTGAAATTGAATTCTGGGGTTTAGCAGAAACAAATGCTGTGATTAAACCATGCCACTAGATGGTGCCTTGGATTAAATATTTTTCAGACATGCTGAGATTGGTATTTAACTCTTATTAACTATAATTAGAGAGTTCAGACTGCACGACTCTTAAAAGCTTTTCTTGTTCTATAATTTTGGATTGTAAATATACAGTAATTCTTTCAACAATGTCTCTGCAGGAACTGTCAGGTTCCAGAAGGAATTATATCTGACTGGCAATTGGCAGGTAAGAACATGTTAATTTGCTTACCTGACTATTTTAACTATTGTTTGCTTAATATATTAATTTAAATTATATGCCTAAATACAGTAGAAGAAGAGTTCAAAGTTAAAAATGGAAGCTTGTGTCATCTATTCTGATATCAGTGGTATTTCCAGAATTAAATTATCATGCCTTAGACATTTCTGGAGCTGACAAGATAGAAAGCATGTTTTGATTTAATAATCTCAATGCCCTGATTTTTGTTAGATATGTTTATGGAACAGTTTTGGGAATTGATTATTGATTGTCTCTGTGCCATCATATTGGTGTCAAACTCTTCTCCAGGATGATCTGTTCCCATCCTGACCCTTGGGTCTACTACTGGGACACCAATTGCCACTGTAATTGAGTCCATCCATGTTGCTGCTCGTTGTTTTTCCTTCATCTTCTCCAGAGAGTTAAGTCTTCACATAATGTATTCAAATTATGGTCATTTGAGCCTATTCATTTATACTGAAGTGAGAATTCTAGTTTGATATGTGCTTTGATCCACCTGTTTGTTTCCTTACCTATCTTTGACGAGAGTTCTTCAAAACCAAATGTCAAGAGTCAATACTCTTTCTATCCTCTGTTTCTTCAAAGCCTAGTTTTCGCTTTCATAGAAGGTTACAAAGAAAACCTTTGACTGGAAAATTCTTTGTAGTTCAGACATATCACAGTATCTGAATAGGTTTTCTAAGACCCTCACTGTTAATCTGTCAAATGCTACCCTGTGGCATATTTCTTGACTTCTGTTTTTTTCTTTTCTTTTTTTTACTTTTGATAGTCCATCTTCAAAGGGTAGAGGCTGTATATCATTTTAATATTTCACTGTCAATTCTGTTTGTGTTTATCTATACTTTGGTATTCCTTATGTTTAATCTTAATCCCATTTTTTCACAGTGTTCTAGTATTGAAGCACCTTTTATTACTAGACCTTCTGAATCATTCATATTTTCAAATAGCAGAGTAATATCAGTATAGTACAAACTCTTGAGGTTTGTCCCTGAAATTTTAAAACCAAACTTATCTTCTAATCCAACTTCCCTTAGCATATATCCTGAATAGATAAGGGGAAGACTGCATAGCCTTATCTCCTTCCTTTGCTGATCTGGGACCAGTCTGTGGTACACAATGTACCGTCTGAACTGTGGCTTTCTATTCTGTCTGTAAATTCTACAATCAGCTGTTCCGGGATTCCAGTTTTCCTAGGGACTTTCCACAGCTTGACACAATTGAAATATTTTCTTTAATCAATTAAGTACATGCTGAATTTTAAAAAAATTATTTGCTTCTTTGATTATAAAGCATGCATCAGCAATAACATCTCATGTTCTTCAAGTTTTTTCTAAAGCCAGTTTGAACATCTGCATCTCCATTTCTATGTAGGACTCTAATGTGCATTGGATAATCTTGAACATTATTTTGCTAGCATGTGAAATTGAGAATATAGTATGATAGATTGTACATTCTGTTTAAGTCTCCTTTCTCTGTTATTGGTATATGAGTTGACCTCTTCCAATCTATTATTCTCCTGATTTTCTGGCATAGCTTGGTTAGAATTTTATTTATTCTTGTCTTGTTTAAAATATATTAATATGTATTCAGTTAATTTGTGTAGTGACCAGATTGCTGATCTAATTTCAGTTTCTAGTTGTAGAAATATTGTAAATAGGAGATATCTTCTGTTGAATGCTAATATCACTTCTTGTACAACATTTCAGTATTCTTCCATTTTTGTTTGATTTTTTTGGAATTTGTTACTGTTTGTCTTTTAGTATGCTATTTCAGGAGGAGATGCGTGCCTCGATGTGAGTGATATTGAGCTGGCCACACCCAGCCAATAACATGACCACCAAGCCATGCCCACCAACTAAGCCACGCCCACAGAACCGGTTGTTAAAAAATTTGAAACCCACCCTTGCTTTGTAGATATTATTGTAAAACTGATTTTTATCTCTTATAGCATTTTGAAATTTTGTTAAATTTCTTCCAGAGAACTTTTCCTCCCCTTGGCTTTTGTCTCTCTTCATAATATCTGCCATCTGTTCTATAATCCAATTTTCTTTCTTAGTTTTTAGCAGTCTCGTTTCACATTCATCCTTGACAACCTCCGTGATTTCATTTCCACAGTTCATCTGGTTCCTGATTAAGAGGTTCAGGACTTCAAGCTAGTTTCTGATGTTCTCCTTAAAAATGTTGTATATGTGCTCAAGACCATATATGAAAACTGTGGCAAGGCTTATCTTTGCTATTACTGATATTACTAATAATAGATAATTATTATTTTCCATCTCCTTCTAGAAGTAGTATGTTTGATCCTGTACTCTATCTGGTTCTGTCAATGTATATAGGTTTTTGTATTGTTTGAAGACTTAGTAGTAATGAAAAACTCATTGAATGAAAACTGATAACCATTCTCCTGCTTCATTCCTGTTTCCTAGGCCATATAGTCCAAGCATGTTTTCCTGCTTACTATTTCCAACTTTACCATTCCAACCATAATCAGCCTTGCATATTTTGCTGAGTTCAGGTTAAACCTGAACCATGAAATTCATGAATCTCTTTTTCTTCTGCATTGGTACTTGGAGCATAAACCTGGATAACGGTTATATTAAGGATGTCTCCAAATCTAATATTATTCCATCTTTGATTGTATGATATCCAAGTACTGTCTTTGCACTACTTGTGCTAGCTTGAAAGCAATGCTGTTCCTTCTTTGTTTTCTGTGTTCTGAATAATAAACAGTATTAGCTTTTGACTGTCCATTTTTAGATAATTTCAATTAATTGATGCCTGAAACTTCAATGTGTAGTTGATTCATTTCATCTTTCACTGCATTGATCCTTTACATATTCATGCTTCTTACAGTATATGCTATACTGTATATACCAAGTAATTTTATCTTTCTAGCATAAGATTTTTCCCTCTGTGTGATAATATAAGCAATTAGACATCCCAAAGTTTTTAATCTAGCCACGTCGTAAACACGATTAGTGCTCCAAAACATCCACAGCGCTTCCTCAGAAGCGTCTTGAGTGCCATCCTACCTGTATAGAATGGAATGGAATGGAATGGAATAGAATAGGATTCTTTATTGACCAAGTGTGATTGGACACACAAGGAATTTGTCTTGGTGCAAATGCTCTCAGTATACATAAAAGAAACGATACATTCGTCAAGAGTCAAGATTCATCAGGTACAACACTTAATAATAGTCATAAGGTACAATAAGCGATCAAATCATACTAGGAAACAGTCAATATAAATTGTAAGGATACAAGCAGCAAAGTTACCGTCATACAGTCATAAGTGGGAGGGGATGGGTTATAAGGAGTGATGAGAAGATTAATAGTAATAGTAGTGCAGACTTTGTAAATAGTTGAACAATGCTGAGGGAATTATTTGTTTAGCTGAGTGATGGCTTTCGGGGGAAAATTGTCCTTGTGTCTAGTTGTTCTGGTGTGTATCACTTTATATTGTCTTTCTGCATGGTTTGCATAGTAAAATGTAGGAAGAGGTTATCATTACCTTCTCCCACCGAGTTTCAAATGATGCTTTTGCTATTGTCAATAAAGCTATCATCTGCCTGCAGCATCTTCCTATATCACTGCTGCCCAATAAGGGTGCCTGCTTGCTTTAGATGGGTAATTGGCTTCACACCTTGGTTTAGCCTACTGTGAGTATATTCCTGGCATTCTTTGCTCATCCCTTCTAGGAACAGATCCTCTGCCATGGTGAATACTTGAGAGGGAGTTTTAGGAATACAGACTGTAATAATACTGTTTTCAAGCATTTGTGTTAATGTTCAGTACAAATGTACTGAAAACTTTGGAAGTTATTTAAACAATTATAAAAGAATAACTTCATAATACAATGGATCTATTCATCATAGAAAGAATGTAGAATGAATATGTATAAGAAAACACCAGCATGGTTAAATAAATGTTAAAAAAAATAGTGAGGGAAGGATTTTTTTTTTTTAAAGTGGAAAGCTTAATTTGATAAAAACAAGGGAAGAAGTACTCTGGCTAATCAAGCAAAAACGGGAATCTGAGGGGAAATAATGCATTAAGTCAAATAAAATAATGAGGGGAAATGCTGCAACCTCTACAAAACAACACTATAAAAAGATTCCTGAAAGGGTATCGGGAATTAAAAGGAATATGTCAATCCTTCAATGTAGCCCAGACAGACAACTAAAACCATGAGTATTAATGCTTCCTTTATGATAAGATTACAGTAACAGAATCTTGCAAGTCTGAAAGCAGCTCCCCTGCAATTACTTTCGAGAAAACTAGGGAAAGTCCCTTCTGAGATGCTTTCTCCATTCCCATCCCTCCTCTGGGTTCAGATTCCATTTATCTATCAGGCCATTGTTTACATTGTGAGTATTAACCCTTTGGCTTGCTGGGTGGCAATGAGTGAAGAGTAAAATGGTCTTGGGCCACATGTAAAATATAAATAGTTATTACGTATAAATATTGTAACAAACTTCCTTTATTTTTAAAATATTTTTAATTATAATCTTGTCACATGCATCCCGCTAACTGCAGGCTGAACACAGCTGAACTAGGCTGTGGTTCTTCCTCAGATAAGTTATATCTGTCTCTATAAATATATTAATAAAATTTTTGAATACTGTATAGCATTCATTAATTCAGCAATACATTTCTATACAAATAATTAGTATTTGAAGTATTTCAGCAAAAAAATATAGTTTTTATTACTAAAACTGTTGATAAACAAGTGTTAAATAGCATTTAGGCTAATTGATCTATCCTTATCCTGTTGAATTCCCCACTAAATGGCATATAAAATATTAAATAAATTGTAACAAGGTTTTATTCATTTCTGTTTAACATGTTTACAACAAATTTTGTAAAAACTGGCAAGTCAAATATTAGACTAAAAGTATGTACTGTTTGTATTTACATATTTTGATGTATAAAGGTTACCAGGATTTGATATTACATTTTGTTGAT